AGGGCAAGAAGTACAGCTGTGTCATCATTGCCGGTGAGCTTGTCAATGGGAAGCTGATGTCCAAACTCAATTGACCAGGTGACGTTGTAGTCCAGATGAATGGGTATCGTCTGCAACCCAGGGACCCATAGGGGGATGACCATGTCGTACTCTCCCTGGATAACACCGTCCGAATCCTTGAGTAGGATCCGAGTTGCCCTCAAATTGTCGCCAACTTTCCAGGCCTTGGCGACTCCTATCCAGGCATTGAGTAAACCGTTGACCTGCAGGATAGCAGCTCTTTTGTCTATTCCGGGTACGAAGTCCTCCGGCTTGAAAGGCAGCAAGTTGTCGTTCACAAGTCCAGCCTTGTACAGATTGCGATAGGCTTGAAACGCAGCGTCTTTCGTAGCATTTTGCTCTGATTTCCAAGCCAACTGACTCTCAGAGCTGCGGACCGAGGCCGGTAAGTAGCTCGGCAGGTGAACAGTGGCCCGCAAGTCTGGCGCGCCTTTTGCGTCCGTCTTGTCGATGATGTAGTCTGGCCGCCAGTCGATGAACTCTCCCGGGGAAAGTATCCGGCATATATGGTCGAGATGCTGCTTTGCGTTATCAAGATCCAGAACAGCCCCTGTTTGTTCGATTTTGAAGATCATCTCCTTTGGCTCCTCAGCCTGCTCGATCTCTTGTAGATGTTCCAATTCTCTCTCTTGTTCTTCGTACTGGGCCTTCATCTCCGCCTCCAGGGTCTCCCACTCTTTCCCCAGTGGATTCGAGCTGTCAAGTAGCATGAGAAGCTTGGACTGCTTCTTTCGGGCCCGTCCGCGGCGTTGGATGAACGACTTGAGGTTCGGTGGGGTATCGAAACAGACAACCAAGTTGCAGGCCGGCACATCGATGCCTTCTTCTAGTACACTGGTGGCAACCAAAAGATTGCTCCTCCCGGATCGGAATTGGTGCAGTGACCGCTGATCTTCCACTCGAGAAAGGTCCCATATATCTTTCTTCTTGGCTTGAAACTGCGATGTGCCCATCATGGCCCCGATTCGATATCGCTCTCGTAGCAAGCCATGCGATGTTAGCAGATGACATAGGACCGCAACAGTTGCTCTTTCTCTGGCGAATATGATGCCAATGGTGTCAGGTTTATACTGTAGCAATTGTTCAATGACAACGAACACCTTATCCGACAGGACAGCACGGCTGATGGTCTCTTTCGATGGACATTGGCAATCGACTTGACTGAGAACGTTGACGAGGTATTGTTTCTCTTCATCCTTCCATGTGTCTAGCCAGACGCTTTGGGCCTTGACTGCGGCTCTGAACCTTGAGATCACTTCCCAGATATAATACTCTGCAGCCCAAGGTCCAAGTTCGTTGAATATCTGATTCGCCTGCCGGCCAAAAGAAGTCATTTGGTTCTGGATGTACGTGTCGTGACTCTTGAGAACCGCAATGAGTTCACGCTGACTGCGATCTGTTCCCTCCGCTTGTAAGTGTCGAATGAAGGGATCTTCCGAGATATCGAGAGATTGTATAGCCATTCTCAAGCTTCGCAAGCTGTTGGGAATATCGTATTCGTTTCGATTTTGAAAGATTGCGGATGCCAGCTCTGGCTTGTTGACAGCAGCAAGAAGGTCGTCTCGGTGCATCGTCGGGCTCTTGCAAACAGCGTCCAGCGTAGCCTCGAGGGTATTGATGCTTTCGACTTTGGAGCCAAAAGTCGGGCTTGCTGTTAGACCCAGGATATGGGGAGTAGGGAGGCCTTTCCGCTGTTCTTCATGGTAGAAGAGTGACATGATTTTGCTTCCCGGAGACTTCCCGATGCAATTATGAGCTATTTCGTACTGGTTAGCCTCTGCCCCTTTCTAAACCTCTAAACCACAAACCTTCGTCAAAGACTATCAGAGATAGCCTGGAAATAGGCACGAATGCGTGCGACATCGCGTCCAACAAGATTTGGTATGTCGACACAACCACGCGCACATTGAGAAGAACCGCATCCCAAGTTTGCTGGTCGGACCATGAGTCCACGTTATCGTCGCCACTGAGGAACTTTATCTGAACCTCGGGTATCTGGGTTTTGAGAACTTCGAACTGTTGGCTACAAAGCGATACCGTGGGAGCTAGAAACCAGACAATCTGTACAGTTAGCCTAGCAACAGAGATCCGTAATGGCCTTAACGCACCTTTTCGGACGTCGTTCTCTCCAATTCAGCTCTAATTCTCAGAACAGCTCTATAGAAAGCTTCTATCAATGTCACGAAACTACGCTTGCTCGTAGGCAGTCCACTTACACTTGTGTTTTGCCACTACCTGTGTCCATCTATCAAGTGTTAATAACCCATGGTCTCTTTGGGACTGGATCCACAGGCTCGACGAGACTTACAGCAACAATAACGTTTTGCCGCATGCTCTCGGCAAGCATTTCGGACTGGTAGGCCCTCGCATTCATGATGACCGAGTTGCCTGAGGCTGGCTCAGCTAGAGGCGAAGAGGCCTCATTGTTCAGGATCAACTCCTCGGCGGCTGTTGAGAGTGCCTCCTGGTTATGAGGCCCCAGGACCGGCACATTGGAAGGTACATCATCTTGCACAGGATCTGCACCCTCGCCGGAAGATGATGGTGAATGGCCAGTCATTGTTTGTATGGTTCTAGCGTGGACCTGAGGACCCAGTCCTAGGGTCCTGACCACGGTCCTGGGAAGCGCGGTACTTCGGGAGAATCCAAGTAAGCCAAGAACAGGTACACCAGCACGCTCAAAGTACCGGGGTACAATGACTAGACTCGCCCGGCAGTGGGGTGGTCGGTATGAGTCAAAAAACGCAGGTAAGGTTAAATGACGCGGCTCAAAACGGAAAATAGACCAAAAGTTCGTGTGACGCGGGGACCAGGACTCATGGGGCTCGATGCACAGCACTCTGGTGCGTCTGCGGATACAACCTCCGTGTATTCGAACACGCAGAACTTGCCTAGTTCAATGGGTGCGATGCATGCGTGACTCGGCGATAAGCGCCTGATTGCTGACCTGGATTTGGCGATGATGCCGTAGTGAAGGCAGAAAAGTCTATGAGAGGTTGGGGTCCCTGCCAAGAATCACGTCGTAGTGGGTGCCTGGAGGGCGTTCGGGAACATGTTGCCGCTTGTTTGCTTCTTTTCTCGTTGCACATGAGTAGGGAGGAAAATTGAGACCTCGAGGCAACACGTAGTCGTGGCATGCTATCCATATTTGCACTCGCAAGCCAACACGCACTGCAACAGGTCGGTTCTGTTGAGTTCAGGGACTCTGCAGGAGGCCAGCGGCCCACATCTGCGGAGGACGTATACCACTTCGCAACGCAGTTACGCACCGTATCAAAAGAATCATTGTGGCGCTTGTAGAGTGAACTTTTGAGCTGAGAAACAGGGATCAAGAGAAGGCGATGGAACGAACGACAGCCTTGGGCCTCGGGTACCCCCGTTCTAATTTCGAGAAGTCGAAGTTTTGCTCCGTATGGCAGCCCCGATTTGCTTGATGTGTCCAGCATAGAAAGTGTTCAAGGTAAATCAGGAAGAACAAAGTAAGACTCGGACGAAAGAGAGAGCGATCTGACATCGGTCCCCGACCAATCAATTTAGGAACTCCCAACCAGGATTTGGAAGATCAGGTACCTATCTTGAATCTTCCGGTAATCCGTCGTGACGGATAATTAATCACTGGCCTGGAGTCCTGACCAACAGCTGTCATTTAGGCTCGCTCATGCTCCAAGAGTTTCCACAGTCACCCGCACTCACCCCGGCTTGAGCGTGAGACTAACCCAACCGGGGCCGATGCCGAATTTATCGGTCTTGATTCACCGGAACCCGAGGCCTACTTAGCCACCCGTCCGGACTTTGATTACATCCAGCATTGTACATGCAGCTAGCTGACGCCTCCAGGAAAACGTGCGTCAGTGCCTTGCCAAGCCGAGAACAGGAACATCTTTGCTTATGAAAGCAACGCGGCATCGGCTTCGGATCGTGGACCAGGCGTTAACTTGACAGTCTGCTGCCTCCTGGGGTTCTACCAAGTACATCAGGTCATTCAAGGTACTACTCATCTACCTGGATTGCCAGTCTGTGTCTCTATTGGAGTCGATCTGGCTTGCAACCTCAACTCCAGTCTTTGAATGCTACCCTGCTCTTCAATTGAGAGCACTGTGGCGAAGTGCAGCAAAAACTGGGTCATTCGGGCCTGCGTCTCTAATGCAATACTCTTGTTTGAACTTTTGTTCGATTTTATTCACATGACGCTGAAAAAAATACGTAGCCGCATGTTGCAGATCACCTCTTGATCCGCAGAAGTCCTAGAAATTGAAGGTTCTCCGTTGAAGTCTACTTTGACTTGCTTGGGTGAGTCGCAATGCTGTGCCTACCAGGTGCGATTAGCTTAATGCAAGGCCCTGCTACTCGCATGCGGCTTACTTCTCCTCAACCAGTCTAGACAACAGTAGACCACCGCACGAAAGTGTCATCTGCCCGATTGTTAGGCACTCGAGGCACACCTGATGACCGGTCCTAAAATACCTTCAAGCGGGACTATCAGGCGACTATGTAGGCTGTTGCGGCACAGTAACTGGCGGGCGGTTTCAGATCGCGGTAAGCCAATGAACTGGCTGCCAGAGGCGGCCGACTGTCGCCAGCGATTCTTTTTCACTTCGGTAGTGCCCATCTTGCAGCTGTTGCCTGATATATGGCTCCATCCAAGTCTTTGATCAAGATTTCTGCCATCGATAATTACCAAACGACGCCGCATTGTCAGTCAAGTTCCTTTACCAATATCTGCAGTCCGGGGCAACGGTGGTGACAGCTTGCATCTTTCCCTGCGAAGAGAACTCGCCAGTCGTGGCCAGTCTATCAAGATGCCCAATCACATATGCAACGTATCTCGTCATGTCGTCATTGCAGGTCATCCATTGAGTCTAGAGCTCGGGCTTTTCGTGTCCCCATGTCTCTATGCTGTTCTATGATACAAGGTAAGACCGTCCTAGCCATTGCGCAAATTACAAGTTCGTAAGATAGTCCTCAATCTCCTGAGGGCTGAGCTTTCTGAAGCGAGGGCCCTTGGCACCCTCAACACCCTCGATACCGAGCAGGTGGTCTGCCGGAGGTCCGATGATGCCTATATTCCCAGTTAGACGCATTCTTGACGACGCATTTTGAATACTTACCAATCTCAATGGTATCTCCATTCATCTCTCCCTCGATGGTCTCCTTGAGTGTGAGCAACGCAATGTGCACGGCGTCCTCAAGCTCCAAGCCCTCCGTGTATCTCTTCTCCAGGAACGTCTTCGCAGACGTAGCGCTCTTGCCAATCGCCGTCGCCTTCCACGGGAAGTAACTGCCAGAGGGATCGACCTGGTACAGCATGGGTCCACCCTTCAGAGTACCTCCGGTCTTGCCTGTGGGCTTCTTCTCCTCGCCTTCCTTGGTCTCGGTCTCGTCCTCAGGCAAAATACCCTCATCCCAGCCAGCAATCAGCAAGCTGACGCCGTAAGGTCGGACACCACCAGACTGAGTAGCCTCCTGCATGACACGAGCAACATCCTGCACCAATATCCGCGTAGGCGGGTATTCGTTGTAGATGCGCTTGTAGCCCGTGTGCGATACCTTGCGAGCCTTGTCCACCAATATTCTGTAGTCGGGACCCATGCCTGAGTACACCATACCGATGTCGGGGGTGACGAGACTGATCTTGGACAGCGAGCTAGGGTCGGCAAGGGGCGATGATGACTTCTTCTCGGTCGCAAGGACGATACCGTTGGTAGCTTTCGAGGGGTTAGCATAGGTTGAGGAAGGAGGGGCAAGTCAACTTGCCTTTGATACCGAGGGCGGTGACGCCCTGATTGACGGCGTTCAGAGCATATTCTAGATGAATGTCAGTCCTGCGATTCGAGCGTTCGTTCCGTTCCTGAAGTTGGGAGACATTGGCCGGTGGGGGTTGTGTTGGAGCATACCGATCTGAACCAGCTTGCCGCTATAATCGATTAGCATGCGGACGTCATAGGTTAGAAAGTTTATAAAATTACCTGGGTGAGAACGTCGTCAGGGAGAAAGAGTAACGGTCGGCCATTGCTTGATTGTTTGATCGTGTAGTCGAGATGTGATGTCAAGTACAGTGGTCGGGGAGGATGGGGGGTGGGTTGGCTGCGGTCAAACGAGGTGAGGCTGCCAGAGCTCAGGTACGAAGCTCTCCCTCCCAGGCAACTCGCGCCGCGTCAAGCTGCCAGACGCCGGGCGCCGCTCGGGAACCAGCAGCACGTGACATCGCCGGCTCAGATGTTGATCCGGGTCATACTGCTGACGTAACCGGGAGGCGCTGGAAGCTATGACCACCTGAAGAAAGCTCACAATAAAGTGCCTGGTGCTGGAATATTCTTTTTTGCTCTTCGTTTGTCCTGTGCCCTCCCAAAGATCCAATTCGCTTGGCGCAGCCTCTCCGACAGGCACAGCACTCCGAAAGGACAGATCAGGCTTTCATATTGCCTACGCTAATTCATGTCATGTAGGCGCTGCTGCACTTGGTCAAGTTAGGCCAAGTTTCCAACCCCGAGCCAGCCGGTCTTTCACTGCAAGTCTTCTATTGCTTCTCTTCCTCTCACAGCACAGAGTTACTCCACCCGCGCATTACGGAAAGCCCCATGCTTTGAAGACGCCTCAAATCCCAACGTCTACAGCAATCAATTTTTACTGTTCGTCATGGATGCTGCGAAGCCTCAGTGGAATTGGCCATCTGATCTCCCTACGGGAGGCCCAGCGCGCAAAAGCCATTCTGAAGCCGACCTACCCGAGAAGACAGAGCCTATCAAGTCTGAGGACAATGGGCAACAGGACAGAGACCAACCCCAGGAGCAACCTCATTCTCCGCCCAAGCAAAGATACTATGGGCCGCGAACATGTCGCATCTGCTTCGAGTCGGTTCATCCTACATTCGAAGAGCCAAGTGTCATGAGCGGCTTCATGAACTCACGTCCACGACCTGTTTACAAATCCGATGATCCCGACTCTGGACGACTTATCTCACCATGCAAGTGCAAGGGGTCTCAACGCTATGTCCACGAAGGGTGCTTGCAAGCTTGGAGGTATGCCGACTCGACAGCTACGCGGAACTTCTTCGCATGTCCCACCTGCAGCTATTCATACAAGCTGGAGCGATTATCCTGGGCGAATCGTCTGCAAGGAACCTTTGCGCAAATAGTACTAACTATCCTCATCTTCATCGTTTCGGTCTTCATTCTGGGCTTCATTGCGGATCCAATATTGAACTTGTGGACCGATCCCATGGGCGCAATCGCGGATATGGCGGCGAATGTTCTTGACGACATCGAAGCAATTCACGAGCCTGTCCCTGAGATGGGTGCGGAGCCTGGAACATGGCTGGAACACTTCCTCAAAGGCTTTTTTTCTCTTGGACTGCTTGGGTTTGTGAAGTCTCTCTTCGCTATGTCACCCGTCCAATGGTGGAACTTGAGGTCAAGCGGTATCCTTAGTACTTCTGGACGTCGAGGAGGGACTGGTCGCGCGCGTGTCGAGAACATCAACTTGGGCTTGGTTGTCATTGGTGCCGCGACCTTTCTGTGGGGAGTCTGGAAGGGCGTGAGAAAGTTCAGTGCTTCAGCTCTACAGCGTGCGAGCGACAGAGTCTTCGATGTGGGTGGTGACGATGATGAGGATGAAGATATCAAGGAAGACTGACATAGGTCGGAATGTGGAGAAACGCAAACATTCTTTATCACTCGAGAGACGGAACGCCTGTAGCGCCATGTGTCACGATGCCACCCGCACACTCTTAAGTTGCCTCGAAGATTCTCTTCCATATCGTGTCAACTAGTCTGTGTGCGGAGAATAAGTCCCTGCTCTGTCTTTGAATTGAGCCGTTTTGGTCAGATTCACTTTGGACGAGCAGGCGACATCAACCTGCCATCAATCAATCAACATTCTGTTGGCTGACCATGCCGACGACAACTCTCAACATCCTTTGAGTTGGCAAACGCGCAGGCTGATACACATATGTCTCATGGCTTTATCAATGGCTTAGCCTAAAATTTTGGCAGTGATGAAAGACATGAATAAATTTCAATGTGTCACATTTTCGTTGCTAGTTACTGATGATGAACCGCATGTACAGTGAGAATTTGCAAGGAAGCATCAGTTCGAGTATCGGGTATTTCTTTTAAACAACTGAATCTTATTTATCTAGCAATCTACGCCTCATGGTCAGCGTTACAGGACCCCGCATAGAGCATTAGGTTTGACGTTGCTTTGGTAGTGGGGAACCAGCACAACCCTTGACAGGAGGGACCCAGGGGACCCAGGGATCGCCCGACCGGACAATAATACCACCGACCGGGCCAATGATTGATGGTTTTCGGCGTGGTCCAGATCTAATGCTCCCAAAGTGGACCTCGAATTTAACGAAGCCATAGTATCGAGTTCGTGTTCACCATCCTGTACATTGACCGGCCGTCCTCGCCCTTGCACCACTGCTTCCCTTGCAACCCTTTCGCTTTCCAGAGTGTCGCCCAGACTTCTCGAGGCCCGGACGTGATGCGCCTCTTTGGATGACGCCCTGCGAATACCCCGACGATCTTTGATTCCGACATTCCATCACCCTTCCTCCCTCCTTTCTGTGCCAAGCCTCTAGTCGCAACGGCCACAGTCAGCGTCTTCTCTCGTGTTCGAACACCGACGAAATTTGTCCTTAAACGCCCGCCATTTCCGGGACATCGAGGCGCCGCATTTCGACGCTGGTCCAGCCGCGACAATTCTCTCGATCGTAGGCTGACGAGTTCTCCCTTTGAACTAATCTCCTAATTCGACACGATGCATTTCGCATACCCACCACGAAAGAGCTCGAACCCGCCTCCCTTCAAGGCGAGATCCTCCAGAATACCACCGGTTCTTCGACGCAGTAGGCTCAAGGTCATCGCGGCAGGCGCTCTTGTATTCTTCGGCTTAATATACCTTCTCTCTGGAGCCTTCAAGTCACCTAGCGGCCCTCGACCACCCTCTGGTGACCCACCAGCGGTAATAGTGACGGTGCTGGATGAGGACAACTTCAGCAATAAATATCTCGCAAGCATTCGCGACAACAGGAAACAATATGCGCAGCTACATGGTAGGCTTTCACTGGTTCTTCTTTGTACTGCACATGCTAATAGCTCTGGTCTTAGGTTATGAGGTGATGTTCGTGAAAGCGGGCGATTACGATCTGAACGGATCTCCATCATCATGGAACAAAGTGGTGTCACTGAGGCACGCGATGACAAAGTTTCCAGAAGCCAGATGGTTCTGGTACCTCGACCAAGACGCTTACATCATGGACCCGGAGACGTCTCTAGAGAATCTGGTGTTGAAGTCGGACAGGCTTGATACTTTGATGGCCAGGGATCACCCGGTCGTCCCCCCTGACAGCATCATCAAAACATTCCCTCATCTCAAAGGCGACGACATCGATTTCGTGGTCACGCAAGACAGAGAGGGTCTTTCTTCGAGCAGCTTCTTTATCCGGAATGGCGACTGGGCGAAGTTCTTCATCGACACCTGGTTTGACCCTCTGTACCGCAGCTACAACTTCCAGAAGGCTGAGGGTCATGCTTTGGTAAGTCCCTTCCTTTTTGCCTCTTGTTTTTGCGTCTGACCCAGATCTGACCGTTGCCTTAGGAACACATTGTACAATGGCATCCTACTATCCTTTCGAAGCTCGCCATTGTGCCCCAGAAGACATTCAACTCCTACAATCGATATGATAAGGGAGAGATCTACAAGGATGGTCACTTTGTTGTCCGCGCAGCTGGTTGCACAAACACTGGAGAGCGGGCTTGCGACGAGGAGCTAAGCAGCTTCAAGACGAAGTGGCAGGCGGCCTTCAAGGCGCAGTAGACGGAGGGCTAGAAGAGAGCAATGCTTGTCCTCGCTAGAGGAGGACCAACGCACAGAGAAGCTCCAGGCGTTATATTCCCCAGGAAGCATGAACTCGGCATTTCAAGTGTACAAGAGCTGGACGAGGGCGTTTATTTGGGTTTGGGGAGACCATCTCATGAGGGAATTTTGTACGGGGGCTAATGACAGATGGTCAAGATCCTCGGAGGCTACCCGGTTGCATGAGCTTCTCGCACGGCGCTCATGAGGGTTGTTATGTTTTTTCTCTCTTGATACTTTCGAGATGATGACTCGTTTTGACGACCGAAGGCTTGCGTCTTCTTGTGTTTTGTATACCATACCGATAGACATTGGCCATCCTGCCACAGCGCGGATGCTAACACGGACTTTATTCGCAAATCTCCATACCATTGATAAGCAACTGTTCTTGGCCGCGATCAAAAATGCAAGATCGTCTCCACTTGGCCAACTTGTCCCCATGAGGATCACCGGCTGCCCGTTACTTGCAAGACAAGTTGGACAGGGAAGGCGACCTCACATCAACCAATAAAAAAGAGTCTAGGTGCAAGTTGTTGGTTGTCGATGCACGTCTGCGATTCGGCTGCAAGGCTGTCGTTCGCTAAGATCGAATTTCCAGGCAGCGCCTGGGATCCGCTTGGATCTCTCGGACGTGAACACTGTCGATGTGACGTGGTCGAGGCAAAGCGCATGGCCACTTTGTCGGAGCTTACTCACTAGGACACTGGTTGACCTTTGGCATCAGGGGCATTGTGCGACCCGAGTTCAAGCCCAAAATTGCTTGCTGTTCGGCATTTCTATTCAGCAGTGTCGGCACTTATGCGAATAGAGTGATGATGATGACACTCAATGGTTGGAAATGCGACTTCTAGATGTGTCCGGGGCCATTGGATCAAGCCGGGTAACGGGCGTCCGCGGGCCCGATTCCGCCCCGCTATAGTGGATCTTTTCGCTCCGGGGCAGTCCGCGGACGGACAGAGTTGAATGACCTTCCAAGGTTGCTTTGACAGATAACGCCCCAGACTTATGCTCTAAGCATGGAAATTCCTTATAAAACAAGGTCACACTTCTCTTTGAAGAAGAGGAGTCAAGGTAGCAATAGAAGGCTGGCGATCTGGACGCAAAGTCATGCGTGCATCAGACAAGCTACCCAATCGGCCGAGTCTGAAGGTCCTCGGTTCGCGTGGAAAATGTCGTCAGGTATCAGCCACGGCGATAAGATGACGGGCACGTCGCGCGGTGCGGACTGCCCTCTTTGGGTTGGGACTTTGTAGGTGGTGTTCATCTTTGGCCGCTCCACCTCGACACTGACACCTCACGTTGGGGAAGACCTAGCCACTGCTCGCCTACATAAGAGGAAGCCATCGGTTCAATGTGAATCCTACTTTGTTAGTCAAGGTCGCTTCCCCAATTAGGCGACGCGGGCATGAGACGTCAAGCTTGAAGCAGGACCCCCTGTCTCTGTGACTTGCCTGAAAGGTTCGTGGATGATACTGCCTGCAGCCAGGTGGACGCGGGCAACCATGGGAAACAGGGCTCCTCTTGCTTGGAGTGGCGCATGTGACAGACCGGATGGCGGCAATGCTCCCCAGAGAGAAGCAGCGGTCCAGAAGTCCAAAAGGTACTCCGCTATCTTCGCTGCACCGACAAGGGTAAACGGCGCTAAGAAATAATCAAGAAGACGCCATGCCCCACGATTTTCTGCTCCTCGGGATCCAGCCGTTGGCTCTGCTTACCACAGCACTTGCACAGCAAAGACCCTCCAACCTCTACTTCCTTGACCCCGGTCGCCGGTGATGCTCTTGCTGTGGCGTTGTTAATGTCGGAACCTTCCAAAGTTCCAGCTCCTAGCCTTGATCTTCGTCCCGTCCCCCAGTCTCCAAATCTTTTTTTTCCTCTCTTGAGCCCCCTCGTTCGCATTCCCTTCTACTCCGCGTATTTATAAATTGGAATTCGCATCCACCCGGGTTGCTCTCCCTCTTCCACGATTCCCACCTCCATTGCTTGCTTGTCGCGAATCGCAACACCCCACTGTGCCGAGCTACAACAACGGCAGCAGACAAGATGCCCGGCAGCTCCCGCATTCCCGCAAGCTTGCGCGAAGGACTGAACCAAGTCAAGCGTAGTCGGCAGGCGAGTCCATTGTTGGTCCTGAACCTCGACTTGTGAGTTTCCAATGCTTCCATCTTTCCACTTCGGTATCTTTCCCGAAGTAACCTCGGCATCGGCTAACCTCGAGAACCCCGGCCCGTAGGTTGCGCAACATTATCTTCTTCCTCTTCGTCTGGCGATGGACGCGCAAGACATTTCTGAAGCTCAAGGGCCGCGGCCTGATTGGAAGCATTGTCGAGATCTACATTGATATCCGTAGAGTTCTGTATGGCTACTTCCTGCGCGCCCCCGGTGTCCGCGGCCAGGTCCAGAAACAGGTCAACGAGACCATGGCGAAACTGCAGACCAAGATGATCCCCGCGAACCTCACCCGATACCTGACCCTACCCAAGGAGGGCTGGTCCGAAGACGACGTCCGGAAGGAGCTTGATACTCTGGCGAACATGGACCACACGAGATGGGAGGATGGCTTTGTCTCTGGCGCCGTCTACCACGGCGAGGACGAGCTGTTGAAGCTGCAGACTGAGGCGTTTGGCAAGTTCACCGTCGCGAACCCCATTCATCCGGACGTCTTCCCAGGCGTGAGGAAGATGGAGGCTGAGGTTGTTTCCATGGTTCTGTCCATGTTCAACGCTCCTCCCGGCGCTGCCGGTGCCACCACCAGTGGTGGTACTGACAGTATTTTGTCGGCTTGCCTCGGCGCGCGCCAAAGAGGATACTTTGAGAAGGGTATTACTGAGCCTGAGATGTACGTTTTCTCCGTGGGGCTATGTCATTGTGATCTTTCTTACTGACACGCACTAGGATCTTGCCCGAAACCGCTCATACTGCGTTCCGCAAGGCCGGTGACTACTTCAAGATCAAGATCCACTACGTCTCCTGCCCTGCGCCCAATTATCAAGTCGATGTCCGTGCTGTCTCCCGCCTGATCAACAGCAACACAGTTCTGTTGGTTGGCTCCGCACCGAACTTCCCTCACGGCATCATTGATGATATCAGCGCTCTATCCAAGTTGGCTATCAAGAAGAAGCTGTGCCTCCACGTCGACTGCTGTCTCGGTTCCTTCATGGTCCCCTTCTTGGACAAGGCAGGTTTTGAGACCGAGCTCTTTGATTTCCGTCTCAAGGGCGTCACGAGCATCAGCTGCGACACCCACAAGTATGGATTTGCGCCCAAAGGTAACTCTACAGTTTTGTACAGGTCCGCAGAACTCCGCAAATACCAGTACTACGTGTCGCCAGATTGGTCTGGCGGTGTGTACGGTTCGCCTGGTATGGCCGGATCGCGGCCAGGTGCCCTGATTGCCGGTTGCTGGGCTAGTTTGATGAAGGTCGGTGAGGCTGGTTACATTGACGCTTGTGTCAAGATCGTCGGCACTACCAAGAAAATCATTGAGAAGATTCGCGAGACACCAGCGCTGGACAACGAGTTGGAGATCTTGGGCAAGCCTCTGGTGTCCGTTGTTGCCTTCACCGCCAAGAATCTCAATGTTTACGACATTGCCGACGGCATGTCAGAGAAGGGCTGGCACTTGAACGCTCTTCAGAACCCTCCTGCAATCCACGTCGCCGTCACTCTTCCAATTACCAAGGTCTACGAGAAGTTGTTAGCCGACCTTGAGGCTGTTGTCGAGGCCGAGAAGGAAAAGGAGAGAGTTCGCGCTGTTGAGGGTAAGGGTGTCAAGGGCAAGGCCGTCGGTGACTCGGCTGCTTTGTATGGCGTTGCCGGATCCCTGCCGAACAAGAGCGTGGTTGTTGACTTGGCCAACGGTTTCTTGGATTTGTTGTACAAAGCATGAAGGAAGCAGAAAATCGGTTGGGAGTTTTGTAAGTGCATTAGCTGGCGAGCATTCGATCAGGACTCGGGTTCGACAAAACCCCAGTAACATATAACGGTGTAACATATCTATTTATTCAGCGTCTCTATTTGCCTCTCACCGATATCGCTCCCACTTTGCTCTGCTGACCGCACGAAGCTTACCGAGCTAATGGGGATTGGCTCGCTGGAACTATGTTGCGTCCGGCTCGATGATCGGGACGGGGCGAACGGGACCCCCACATGTTCAAGACATGAACGAGTGCGTTCGATCGGAGCTTTCCTCTCTCACGGATCGAGTTGTCTCAATTTCTATCGGGTATTTTTTTTTTTATCTTCACGGGCGGTTAGGGTTGTCTCAGGACTACCGCTCTGACCGCGATTCGCCAGCAAACGTGAGTGTAGAAGACTAAATCGAAGTCATTGGCTGCCAATATCGGAATCAATAGATCTCGATTAAAAACGGCCTGCCGTGCGGACATGCGAACCATTTTCTATCAAAAATCTCGGTGGACGCCTTGCCGCGGACGGCCAACGGGACATCCGGAGCGTCACGGCCCAATTCCGGGGGACCACCCATGGTATCGTTCTTTGTCTCCTGCACTTACATGCAGCATCCCACACCGCACTATCGAAAGTTTCCTCATCCGCATCACATCTCAAGAGCCCTCACCCCTTCAAGCCGCGTCTCAAGTCGAGGCCTGTGGTCTTATCGGGGACCGCTTGGTGGCACCGCAACCAAACTCCAAGAAAAATTCTAGGGATAGGATGTCCGCGCTGACTGCCGGCTCAGGGCCAACGAGCAAACATGGCGTCGCCTGACTTGGATTGTCCAACGCGATTCAAGCTAAGATATCTTGGGCGACACGGGAACCATGACTTGGGACACAGCAATTCGAAACGACGGGAATAATGATATTTTGGTCTAGTTTCCATCCCAGGCGTAAACTCTCAGCTTCCCGAACGCGTGTGGCCTCAAGATCGAAACCCTCCCGATGTCATCGCATCCTCTGGCGACGGCTACATCCTGGACACCCTGACGTGGGGGAATCCCACCAGACGACTTCCTTTTTCATCTCAGCTTCCTTCGGTGACGCATCGAAACGCTACCGATGTGCCCTGTACCAGGCCATGACATTACCATGCAGACAACTTTGCGGCCCAATGAGACAGGGATGGGCCTCGTTGGAGAAACGGTGCACAGCAGGAAAAGGGCAACTTTGTGGCCTCTACGTTGCCTTCGCCCGACTACTTTGTACGAGCTACCACCACGTATACACAGCCTGCTGATTTCCTTTTCTCTCGCATCTATTATACTAATTTCTCCCTCCTATCTCCTGAGTGAGGGGAACACCACATTCTTATCCCTCGCATTTTGAAAATGCACTTTTCCGCATCACCCATGCCGCTCGTGGTGTTGCCTCCGTGATCGACCCTTTCATACCTTCGTGCTGCACCTTATCAATCCACCTGACGCGAGGGGGAATAGATGTCAACATCTCATTGGGGAGCCCTCTCAAGTGTCCCATCGGCGTCCGAAGAGGGTATGGGTCTATAACTATTCCCGCCTTTTCTGCTGTCTATTTCACCGTCGCTTCGGTCTGCCACTTTTCGTCGTCTATTTGCTCGGTATATACGGCTACCCTTTCTATCGCGCCAACAGCCCAATCGCTCTGGTTCCATCCAATCTTACACAGTCCTTGTTATTTGCCATCGTACAAAACGATCTAGTCTGAGCTTTGCGGAATTTCGCATGCTGTGGCAGACGGCATATCCAATAACAATAACATCGGCAACCGGCAACCGGCCATGACTACCACCCCGGCTGGCAAGGCCATGCGGCCACGGCTGAACACCACAACGAACTGGTCCCTGCAGAGAGATCAGGCGGGCCGCCCGGAGCCGGAAGAGCTTTCCCCGCTGTCACCAAGGCGGGCTGCTGGGGAGTACGGCTGGGGACAACAAAAGGGGAGCCATGGTCACGGAAACCGGGTGGATGAGCAGCAGCAACCGCAGCAGCAGCAGGGTTCGGAGAGCTTGATTATGGAGACGCTCACTTCGAAACCTCGCGATAGTCTTGGTGGCATGCCGTCTGACATGATGGAGGAGTTGAGGAAGATTATCAAAGAAGAAGGTTAGTTGCATTGAGTTCTGTATCTTAAAAGTTGAAGTTTACTGATGATGTTGTCCAGTTGCCCAAGTCGCTCAAGTCGCTCAACTGAAGACAAATGAGACCGGCACCCCCGTCGACGCAGCTCGGTTTCCCCCCTTATCTAGCCAGAATTCCTCCTTCACGCCGGCGTACCCCAGCCCGCCCCCTTCCATTATCGACACATTCGGCGCCTCCAAGAACTCATCGCCACGAGATCGCAGTCCGGAGCTCGCACACGCAAAGCCTTCGTCGGCGCCTCCTCCTCCGCCTCAGCAACCGTCGCCGCCAACGTCGGTTCCCGTGCCTGCGCTTCAGTCCACTCCGCCCATCAGCCCACAGCAAAGGGGGGTTCACTTTAGAAAGAGGGCATCACCAGTCATTCATTGCCAACCGCGTGTTGAAACGGATAATGAAGACGAGGTCTCGCCGACTGCTCCTACGTCGCCGCGAGTTGAGTTGAGTAGTGTTGACAAGGCGTGGGGTGTGCTGTTTGACTCGGAGGGATATCCTACCAATCGACTGAACAGCGTGCTCAGGGGCCTCGCTAATTTTATGGTACACCATCTCCCGCCCTCTTCATAAGTTTCTTTGCGGCTAACATGAACCTCAGGTTACGGAGTTTGGGTCGCCAGACACACTCGTCGTTACTCCTGATAAGATGCTGATGCTGTACACCAAATACAAAGTCGAGCCTGAGAGGTTCCGATATGAAGGTAATCAGCCTTCTCATCCAAACTCCGTAAACAGCTGCTGACCCTTCACCAGACATCTTCAAGTCTCGGTCCAAAGACGCATTGGAGCGAATCGAATTCTTGTACCAAGATCTAGACTGCCAATACCATCTCGTCCAGGCCGCACCTAGATCTCACCCCAACATCCCCGGTCTAACCCCCGCAGGCTTCGCGAAATGGATGATCAGCAACATCCTCGCCTACCCAGACCCGGAAGCCAGGCGTCTACACGCCATCATGACCGCCCTCCCCATCAACGCCGACGGACCCCTCCTCAACGGCAAACCAGAGAGACTCCCCAGACAGCTATCACGGCATCTCTTCCCAGAGACCCACGATATGAAGGTCCGCAAGATCATCGACGAGGCCATGTGGGACTGCCTCGAGGACGTCGCGCCGCCCCTGCCATCCATCCCGAAATCTCGACCGGCTCCACCGCCCCAGGACGTGACCAGGCTCCCCGAGGCCAACACGCACACCCGCCGGTCCGGAAGCGACCTCCCCAAGCGCCCCGCATCCCTGCCGCACCGATCCAGGACATACGACCGCGGCGCTCACCGCGTCGAGCCGCACCCGGCACGTCTCCCGCGCGCCAACTCGGACGCGGGCGTTTCCTTGCCTAGACATCGTGACTTGCCTCCCCCTCCAGTCGGACGGCACTCGACTTCCTCTCAACGACAGCGAAGCCCGCCGCCGACGAACAGGTATACCGCGTCGCTTCCCTCCATCTCGCAGCACCACGTCAGCGGCGGTGGCGGCGCCGCGTCGCCTTCGCCTTCGTCGTATGATATCCGCGGCGGGGCTGATGCCAATTACGGGGTGTACTCTGGTCGGGACAGGGACGGGCATCGCGGTTCAGAGTCGAGGGATGAGTCGCCGCGGTCTCCAGGGAATGGAAGGCGCGGCGGCGGCGGTGGTGATAGGGGTCCTACGTGGGAGGACGTGTATAGTCGGAAGGGGTCTGCTGGGGGGAGGGGGTCGAGCGTTGATGGGGGATCTCATCGGTCGTTCCGGTGATTTGTTTCATGGATACGTTTTTGTCTGTTCAAAGACGGGAGGTTGTATTCGGGGGTTCACTGATGATGGATGGAAAAAACAATATGGGGGGGGGGGGGGGGGTGAATGAAGATATGACAGTAACGACTTATGCCATTCTCTTTTGTGGGGGGATGTTTGGATTAGGCTTCTGGGCCGGTTCAGTTTGATTTCAAGTTGAATGTAGGATGGACTGTATGATCTGCAGACGGCTGTGTCTTTGTAACGTAGCGTTGGCTAGGTTTCTTGTTATAAAAATCTATTTACTGATATCTCGTTTCAACGAGTTTACCAGATGTCATCTCGACATGCCGGGTCAAAGGTCTTCAGAGTGATAATGTTCAATAAATTGCTATATGCGCTTATACTGCTATGGTTGTCCATGAGTTAAATGTGCGCCCATATCTTCCGCATCTTGTATAAGGGGTGATACTCTGTGGCACTAGGCTGGATGCTTAGAGGGAGACGACTTTGGTTGTTCTTTTCTTCATCTAGGTCCGTGAGGTGGTGGAAAGTCCCTGAGCCACTGCCACATTTGTCTTGGAGAAAGACAATTTGGTGATGCGGAAACTTTCTTCCGGACGAGGACATTCCCGAATTTCTAGCCATATCAACCTGTCCATTCCCACCTGGCGAAAGAGGAATTCTTTTGAGCAAAAACATACACCCGGGTAGGATCACAGTACATCTCAAACTTATGTCGAAAACTAACGAGGTAAAAAGAAAAAGAAAATTAAAAGGAAAGGATGTAGGGAGGGGGATAACTGGCCTTATAATTCACGCCCCTGCCCAGATTCGAACAGCGCGCCCCTCGGGCCAGCACGGCTTCATTGGAGTATTTGTTTTAACATCTCTGCGTCAGAGTGTAAACCACCCGGCCAATCCGGATGGGTGCTGGTGACAGTAACACGCGTTTGGGTGGAACATATACCCTCGGTTGATGCCTCGAGGAAGGAAGGAAGGAAGGGTGGGGGTCCGGCGACTGAGGCTCACCTACCTCTTTGGGGAGAATGAACGATATGTGGTCTACAAGTACAGATTACGCCACCATGAAATCTCGGTCGTGTCTTCTTTTGAGTCCAGTCTGGATCAGTCTCCGTCTCTCACGCTCCCGCTGTTATCGTTGAAGATGTTGATAGAAATTAATACGCCGAGGAGATCCGTCTGCTCAAGCAAGGACTCGGATTGTGTTTATCTGTCTTCACACATGGTTTCGAGGCATGGTATTGCTAGCTCGCCTCCATGAGAACTTGGACCTCTCTGGCATTGAGCCACTCCTTCATGTTTCCACCATCTCTTGAGCTGTAATGGTGTCATGATGATTAGGTTCCTAAGTCTTTTAACCAGGGGTAAGGAATTGGACTTGTTCTCGTCTCGTAAGCAGGACCCCATAAGTTCAACGCCACCTAGCCGCACTTGTAACTCACGAAGTCCAATACTGGATGTCCTCAACGACAAGGTACCTAGGAAAAGCAATACTATTCTTTCTAAGTTTCTTCGGCAACTAGGAACTCACACAAGGTATGTCTCCTCCGTCAGTTTCATGAGAAAAATGGCCTTGGACCTTCAAAGTCCGAAAGCATCGTTATCAGTATCAACCCTTCCATACATATGGTAGCCTCCATGTGTCCCTTTTCCTCGTGGAGCTTACCGAAGAAGTGGAACGAAGCTAGATTTCACAACCAATTTATATCTACATTGTTCTGGATATCCTATATACAGGCACTTATCCTGCCCGCTTGGCTGACTCCGTTGATCGAGGTAAACCGCCATAGCCGTACATCATGGTCTCCTCAACAGGGTCTCAAACATTTTCGTTCAAATTGCCCCAGTACGGCGGAATGTCATGAGGCAGGTGCCTCATCTCGAGCATGTTCATATGCGGCCTTGAACCGTTGTATTATAAAACCTTCCGCGTCAAAATTTCCACAATGACAGTCTCCCACGCCGTTGCGAAACCTACTCAACTCATGGGACATGTGCAGACTAGGTCATACACACCTCTCTGGATACTCAGGTATCGATCCATGGTATATAAACAAGGACATCAGCCCAAAATAACTCCCAAGAATGTTATGGTGCGTCCCACTCTATACACATACAAATCCCCCTATTTACTTCTCTCCATTCCAAATTAATCGTCCTTCCCACCACACACTTGATCTGGTCAGGTCTGGGCTCCTGTTACCTACTACAATTCCACCGACATATCCATCTACAATGGCCACCAAGTTCGCCATCCGTCTGCACAACCGCTACACAACTCTCAAGGCCAAAGCCAAGGGACTTCGTGTCGGCAGCTATAGCAGCAACAGCAGCAGCAGAAACGGCGGCCAGAAACAGTGCCTCTGGTGTAGGATCCTCAGACGCAAAATCCCTGAGCCCCTTGTGAGGAACGCAGACATTCACGACTGGATGTCCTCAAACGAGACCCTTGTCGACCACCAGCCAGAGGTGCAAGTAGCCCAAGACCTCAGCGGCACCTTCAACCCCGGAGAGAGATCCCCCTTCCGTGAAGGCGCTGTTGTTCGCCTCTCAGCTAGGTCCAACGCACCCTCCAGCGTCTACTCTTCAGATGAGACCTGCGATGGCAGCGAATACAGCATCGGCAGCGTTGGCGACGACGACGACGACGACTGGTCCACGGTCTACTCCTTCGACGAAGAAGAAGAGGAAACCTTCTACGACGCAGAAGATGGTGTCCCAAGGCCAACCAGGGACATGGTGCCCCTGCCGTCGACGTACTCCCCCTTCGCGTCAGACCTTCCCAGTCTCCCGTCCGCGTACTGCAACCTTTGGGCGTTCTAGAAGAACAGACCCAGAATTCCTTCAGTCCTCAAAGTCGTGGAATCTTGCATGAGCAGCGAGGGCAAATGGCGGTATGGAGTGACCGCACAGCGGACACCGTGCCGTCACTTCGTCGCCTTCCCACGATCCGCCGTCGTCGTCAAACTCTTCCACCTCCATCTCTTCAACCTCATGATCTGAGATTGACTGGCGTTGAGCATCATTAACACCATCACCATCACCACCGCCATCGTCTTCCACGATGGCCGTATCAATCTTCCACTGTCGGAGAACGTCATCCTGCTTGCGGAACATGACAGAGATGTCCCGCCCTACACCTGGCCCGGCCTCACTACCACTAGCGGCCAAATTCGCAACGCAGACATTCATAAGTTGCAGATTCCACTTATGACCAGCCGGAAAGAACTTCTTCATCGTTGGAAGCAAGATCTCTGTCGTCAGTCGTTCCGCCAAGGAATCAGGTGTCTCTTTTGTGTTGAAGACAAAGTTAGGAATAGGCTGGGATCGGGAAATACGTTGAAAATCCGGATGCGAATGCCACGACGTCCCTTGTGGCGCATCAGAAGAAGGCCATTGCCGAACGGACAGTCTTAGTGTCTTGGGGTGCGCAATCCATCTCTGACTGCCCGGCTCGATCGAGTCGTCGCTGTTGTCGTCTGTCAGGAGATCGGTCCGCATCCGCCGGATGAGAGAAGCAGATATCTTGCGTAGCTCGCCTTCAATCTGACTCATGCTCTCCAATCCTTTGTACGTGTCCTCAATGCTAATCTGTGACGGCACATCGCTCGCGTCCTTGACCTCCGTATCGTCGACTCCGTGTAAGAGGCCCCATACCCTTTCTCCAACACCCCGTTCAGAACCAGGGCCACCGAGTAGCTTCTCCAGTGCGTCGGGCGAAGTCTGCTCGTGGGTCCGCACGTCGTAGACTTTTAGTGGCGAAGTCTCCCTGTCGGCGTCGTCGGGTCCCAGGGGCGTCGCGAGGTACTTTTCCTCAAGCGCGCGCGACGTCTTGAAGCCGATGCCGGGGACTTTTCTAACTGAATGCGCATCCATGAACTCGGTGACAACAGCATCGTCGAAAGACATCAGAGTCGTCTGGTTACGCGGCTTGTTTACACTCCCCACGAGCTTGCTGAGCAGCTTGTTGGTCGATATCCCGACCGAAGCCGTGAAGCCAAAGTCCTCCTCGAGCTTCATGCGCAGATGGAAGGCCAGGTGGCTCGCCAGAAGCAGGCGAACGTAGGCAGGGTTGTTGAGATGTCCCGTGCCAGGCGTCTTTCCATATACGCAGCCCGCAACTTTGGTCAAGTCACATGGGAACCCCTTTTCTGGATCCTTCTTGGAAAGGTGGAAGAATGACTCTGATAGTGAAGCCCGGTTGAGGCAGAACATGTTGTAGTTGATAATATCCGTGACGTCTGTCCATAGTCAGCCAACTTGACCTTTTTCCCGCGGTTTTAAGGTGCAAAAGCACACACACACCCATGAAAACTTCATCGAACCCCAACCTCTCCGCCTTGCGGTTCCACGAGTAGCCTCTCATGAAGCCGAAAAGCTTCTTGCTCGTGTCTCGAAAGGGCGTCAGGTCCTCACCCTCAATAATGACGAGATTCGGGCAGAGCCGCTTGGCTTCCGTGATGAGCATGAGCTTCCTGACCCCTTGCTTGCGGGCGACGTAGTTGCACGTGGCCAGGATGTTCTTCTGCTTCACTCCCAAGGGCAGCGCCTTTAGCCGGGGGTCCCGGTTCTCAAAAACCGAGGCGTAGAAGCAGTCATAGTCCTAGGGAAAGAATTAATGAATGGAACATCATGCTTCCAATATCGAGAGGTTGAATTTGGCAACAGAAAAGGGGCATTCTTGTTGCTTGTGAATTTGAGGGTTGACGAACAAAGTGGAGTATGATACGATCATCCCTTCGTCTCGGTGCCCGTTTTCTGGGCAGCTCCATGATTTTCGACTTGACTTTGGCTGTCCATGAGAGTACCTAGCCTCTCTTCGGTCGGTGCACGCCTTTCGGGTGAATCAACTCGATGCGTGTGTGACCCCCACCGCCTCCGATCCTCTCGGGCGTTGTTTGGTCGTTTTGACAGAAACGGGGTAAGGATCCGGGGATTGGGGGCGTGTGGTGTCAGTTGTGAACGGTGCGGCCTGGGCAGAAAAGCACGGGGGCGCACGGGATAAACGGTCGCTTATCTCACGCCCCGAGTCGCCCGACCCGACAGGTACGGATTGTCCACACGACACCGGCGGCCGCTTCCGAAGGGCAGAAGGTAACGCCGGTAGTGCCTTGCCCAGTGAGGTAAAGGTATGGACAACTCATTTACCTACTTTCCGTCGGACTTTCCAACGCATGACTTGCTGCCCATCTCGCCTTCCATTCTACCGCGAACTGCTGCAACGTGCCAGAAACTGCATCGTTCCGGGTAGGCAACGACCCAAACGTCTCTCTGAAGAATGGAAGTACGAGAAGTGCATTTAGTTTCCCGCCTGCGCTTCTCGGCGCTGCAGATATCTCCAAACAACCAGTCACATCACTCTTCTGATGCATGTCGACTCTTACAGAACCTCTCTGAAACCGCACTTGTCGACATCCGATCAACATGCATAGCTGATGCCAACAACTTTGCCTACTAAACTTACCTCGGCGCATCAACTGTCGCCCTACTTTCGGATGCCCAGATGGGCGTTTCCGAACCACTGTCACCACAATCATTGGACGCCTTCTGGCATCCCAAACTGCCAAAGATACGCTCAGTCGTCCGAAATGTTCCAGCCACCCGATCTCTTTCGCACTTGCTTGCCCGCCTGCCTACATACTTGCCTACCTACCTACCTAAAACTTTGCGCTATACACGCATCGCGCGCCCGCCGCCGACGACGCCGCCGCCGTCCACCCTCCGCCAACCACCTCACCTATTACCGCACACCTACACAAGTACACGACGACGAATCGCTCCAAGGCCCATCCCGAACGTATGGCAGCTAACCAAGACCGCCCCAAAACAAGGGAAGATGGTCCCCTCTTCCGCTGCACGACACCCAGCCCGCCAGCCCACCGCTTCCCAAAAAGCGACCCTCTCCCTACTAATAAGGTAGCTTCTCAGAGGAAAGCGTAAAGCGTTCACCCCCCGTGCCCCCCCCCCCCCCCCCCCCCCCCCCCCCCCCCCCCCCCCCCCCCACCCCCCCCCCCCCCCCCCCCACCCCCACACCCCCCCCCCCCCCACCATCGGCCCTTCCCACGGGAAAGCCAAACCCACCCCCCCCGGACCCCCCCCCCCCCCCCAATTCCTCTTCATGCCTAGCCAACGAGAAGCCGTCCATCTCGCATGACAACCCATCCGTAAGCTCACATAGCCCACACCACCTCCACTACCTACCTTCCCTTCCCACTCCCGAACTACAGACTCCAACCGTAAGAAGGTAGGGGACCTTTCCAAAGCCACCACAGGCCCGATAGCTGGAGAGTCAAAGAGGGTCACGAGCAAAATTTCAGTGTGGTATCTCAGGGTAGCCTCTGCGTTGGTCGAAGGGGAGGGGAATAGGCAGATTGTTGAACCACGCCGCCGCCGCCGCCGCCTCGCGCGCGGACTGAAGCAGTTGAAGAATAATAAGAACCCCGCTTTCCACCATCGTCTGCCTTCCTCTCCCCTCCCTCTCTCTCTCGTCTCATCTTCACAAAACTACACACAAGACACACAAAAACCACCAACAGCACATCACAAACCAAACAACCGCAAACATGCAGCCCATGACCAACGCCCACACCAACGCCTGCCCCAAGTGCGGCGCCGCCACTGCCTCTACCGCAAAGACCTGCTCCTCTTGCGGCGCTGTAAGCCTCACCCTTCTGGACCCCTCACTCATATCGATACCAATCACCTCACCTCACCTCACCTCGTCTGAACTTTACAGCCCCTCCCCTCACTCTTACATCAGTAAACATACACTGACATGCGCTGCCCTACCATAGACCTGCCCTGCGTAAATTCAGTCCTTTAGTCTTTTGCGAAATCATAGCACATTGGCGAAAGCTATGCTCATCGCAGAAATGTCACCTGACATGGACTGAGAGTCGGACGAGACTTATAGACGGAATGGAATGAGATCAGAAACACATACGCCCTCACACTCCTTCACGCACAATGTCGTGTTATTGTCATTGCTCATCCAGCCAAACAAACGCACGGGGTTAGGACGGGGTTTACGACGAACAAGAGGTTCACTATCATCTTCATGTTTTGACAAACCAATCTCCAGAGACAAGAACTCACTCTCGTCCCCCGTACGCATGAGAATAAACCAAATCAAATAAATACCCCCTTTTGAGAATTCATATTCTGTACATGCCCATGTACGCGTTCCCGTAGCATCGCATAGTCCCCTCTCGTCCAAAATACCAAACAGGGCCATCCCCTTCACCAGAGGCGGGGCAGCGTAATCAACGTGACACCGCTACCCAACTCTGAAAGCAACGGCTACCCTAAAAGCATTCACCTATACATCTTAAAGTCGCCTATGTTTAGAAACTCATTGCCGTCATGTGCCGTCCTGTTGGTAAAAGACAGAACTAGGCAAGAGCTAGTAAGTATACTCCATCCAGCGACTTCCATCCCAATAACATCAACGATATAACCCCGTGTTGCCTGAGCTACCTTACTTTTGCGTGTCGCGACCTCTCTCTTCGAGATCTGGTGCCTTGCCTCTGTCCATTTTTCATCTCATCTTCTATACCCCCTGACAGGTGAGAGTGACGGCGATGACGATGCTGTAGAGGGATCAGAGCTGATGTCAGTGTGGACCGGCTTTGCAATGGGCACAAGGCGATACGATAATCAACGTGAATAGCAATGGACGGTCAGAGGCGATTTGAGTTATCAAAGACCTGGATTGAGAGAATCGACAAGAGAGAAGAAAACGCAGCCAGGAAACACATGTCCATCTCCGCCATCTAAAACTGCGAGGCGTCAAAAGAGAAAAATAACACGACAAGATTTATGATGTAGCCGGATTCGTCGCAATACTACAGCCAGACGAGCCGATTCCACAGCTGAAGACCGTTGCCATACCGCCGTTCCCCGAGGTTATCAAACAACTCACTGTCCATCGTCACCCAGCAGCTGCCGGCCGCGCCAGCCAACAAGCCCTTTCCTCCCCCGAGACCGTGAGAGACATCCGTTGTAGAAATCCTTTCCCTCGCAGCTTCATCTCGTGGGGATTGTGGCTAGCTGGTGCTTCTCCCAGTCACCGTTCGGCAGGGAATGACATGGATTCAGTAAAAGACGCCCCGCAGAACCAGATACGGTGACACGCCGATCGATGTGGTGCCAGGTGGGTTATGAGACACAATGTTGAGCAAAACTCCAAATTCCGAGAACCTATGCAGGCAAATATTGCCCCCGCCTTCCAAACCGCCACCAAAAACCCTTTCTCATCCGAAAAGTTGGGAAAAGACAATGGAGGCTGGGACCTTGATGATTACAAATGGGGGTTGTGGTCGAAGAGGGAGAAAGGGTTTGGGAAGTTCGCCCATTGGGTATTTAGAGCATCAAGCACTTGTGCTTCTTGCCGCTGCTCCGGCTGCGGGAGAGCAGAGCAGCGCGCGTGGCGTGCTCGAAAACCTCGCGGACACCCTCGTTCGTCTTGGCGGAGCACTCGAGGTACTTGTAGGCACCGATCTTCTTGCGGACTTCCTCACCCTACGAAACGATATTAGCATGCAATGGTGGCAGCGAGAGATGTCTGAGGCCGCCGAGCATCTTAAGATGACCGAGGCGACCCCTATCCCAGTAGAAAAGATAAGCTTACCTCTTCAGGGGAGACGGGCTTTTGGCTGGTCTTACGCAGCTCCTCAATCGTCTTGGAGTCGTAGCGGAGATCCTTCTTGCAACCGACAAGAATGATGGGCAGACCCTGGCAGAAATGCAGGACCTCAGAGATCCACTATGGGAAGAAGTGCACGTATTAGCGAAAGTTGCTTATCGGGTGCAGTCATTCAATGCGAAAGGGGAGAGAAGGAAAAAAGCAAGCGTACCTTCTCCTGAACGTTGTCCAGGGAGTCGGGGGAGTCGACGGCGAAGCAGATCAGGATGACGTGGGAGTCGGGGTAAGAAAGGGGACGGAGACGGTCGTAATCTTCCTGGCCAGCCGTATCCCAAAGGGCCAGCTCGACGTGCTTGCCATCAACCTCGACATCGGCGACGTAGTTCTCGAAAACGGTGGGAACGTAGACCTGAATTAGTTGTCAGAATATTGCGGGATCGGAAACGGATTCTTGAAAGGCGGGTGTAGCATCGGTTGGCTGGATTGTTGATGGGTTGATGCATCTCAGCCTGGCTTCGTGATGGGGGAAACAGGAGGCGGTAGGCCGCGTCGGCGTGGGGGGAAATGGGTAATCTTACCTCAGGGAAGGTACCCTTGGAGAAGACACTATTGAACTAGTCAGCATGATGAAGTCTTTGATGATGAGGTATTGTCTGTCTGTGTTTTCATTTTTTCGGCGATGCGACGATGCAGGATTGGTTATCGCTGGGGGCACAGGCGGAAGCGGAGAGGGAGGCAGACAGACGACAGAAATCGGGAGGGAGAGATGGGTCAATACTCACATCAACAAGCAGGTTTTACCGCAGGCACCGTCGCCGACGATGACGAGCTTACGGCGGATCTCAGCCATGGTGTCTGTATTGGATGTGAAAGTAAGAAAGTGAGCGAGCGATGAAGATCGGATTGAGTTGCGGTCGGTTGTGAGGAGGTTGAGCTTGTTGGCGGAGACGAGGAAGATGGAGAAGGAAGAGCTGCGTCGGAAGGGGGAATCTGAAGGTGGAAGAGAATGGGATGGGTAGAAGTAAGGTAAGGTCACAGTAGTACCTTACGGGTGGAGTTCACTTGACGACGACGCGGGTGCAAGCAATGGAACAGCAGGGCAGATTTGTGTTGGGGGGTGTGGTGCGTGGTGCGTGGTGCGTGGTGGTGGTCCTGGGTGGTGGACGGGTGGTAAGGTACTTCGTAGACAAGTGGTGTCAGAAGAGGCGGGAAGGAAGGTGAGAAAAAAAAAAAGAAGGGAGCCAGGCCAGCGAGAGCGAGCGGGAAGACCTGGCACTGGCAGCTGCAGTGGGAAATGGGGGGGAAAGGGAGACAAAGATTTGGGTGGAGGACAGGCCAGTGGACAGGGTGCAGGCGCAGACGCAGGCGCAGACAGGCCTAGTTGACTGCGTAAAAAAAGGCGACTAGGGGGAAACGAGGTCTCCGTACCGGCCCAGGTACCTTAGCCTTTAGGCAGGGTAAGGTACCTCGTAGGGAGGTGCAGGTGCAGGCAGATGCGGGACAGGACGGGATGGTCTAGGCTTTGTTTTTCTGGTAGTGACTTTGTTGACATTTGTTTCTCGTCCAGTGTCATCTGGAGACACACTTACGCAATCGCTGGATGCTGTAGAAGATGACGGGGACAGGTAGCCAGGAGAAGAACAGCACGGAGTAAGGTATAGACTAAGTAGGCAGTGGTAGAGCGAGCACAGGCAGAGAGCATGATAGAAGCAAGCGTATTGCTGTACCACGCGATATTGACGTACCTCGGATAGCAACTTGAGTCGCCGGTATCTTTTGATAGTGAGATGAGACGTGAGTATCTTAACCTTACCTCAAGCTAAGGAAGATGCGGAGTATCAAATGCTGTTCTGCTGATATCGTGTTTCCCGATACCCAAGGTAAGGAAGGTGTCTAACAGAGCAGGTAGATCAGGTACTTTCCTCTCTGCCAGGCGCATGTATATGGGTGTGTGTCGTAATCCGATCACTGGTGTGTGTTTCCTAGCTGAAATATTGGAATTGAAGGCGAGGATACGGTGACGGTGACGGTGGATGGGGCCGGGGAACTGGATGGGCCTCTGTGCTCCCTCCTCTCTCTCACTCTCTTTCTCTGTACGTCTCTCGCTCTGCTGCTTGTTGACCTCAGTCTTCCGTCTGACTACCTAGTTTGTTTGACCGATGACTGGACTGGGCTGGCAGTTTGGTCTGGTACTGGCAGAGGGATGAGACTGCAACGGGGCTGTCCGACCAGTGAATCCCAATCCAATGTGATGAGAGGGAGCCGGGACTGTTGCCCGCGTCCTTGTTTTTTCCCTACCTACCCTGTAAGTTTCCACGAGGCAGGTATCTTTTCGCTGTGGTATCCATATAGTTAGTACTTGTTTTCTTCTGGTTGGCGGGTGAGTGCGCGCGTGTCCTTATTATTAAGGTACAGAATTAGGTCCTGAGGCAGCCACACAAGGCGAATTGAATTGCAGGTTGGAAGGAAGGGGCCGTTACGGATACAGGGGGCGGGGTGGCTTTTTGGGGGGGCTCCCTCACCTCGGTGTCTTTCAATTGGGTGGCGACTTCCACTACTGCGCCGTCGTCTGGCCCCTGTCTTGCTGGCCTTGTGGGAATCTCGTGCGCTGGACCACACCTGCCAACTGCTTGACAGCAAGGTACCTCACTGCTGTTGACGCCTGTATGGACTGCTTCAGTGACGTGACGTAAGGTGCCCTTGGGAAGGAGGATTCAGTAAAACTTCAGATGATGCTGATCGGTCCGGAAAGAACAGAGAAGGTGACTGCAGATGTAGGCAGGCAGGAAGAGGCAGCTACCGTGCTTGCGTGCCTCTGTCAGACCTGTTGCATTGGCGAATAACCTGGAGATACAAAAGGTAAGGCAGGAAAGTGGTGGGTGACAGATGTGGAAGCCGAGAGTGCTGCGATAAGGATAAGGCAGGGTAGCTGCGTCGATAGTGGTTGATCTGCAATGTCAATGTTTGGAAGCCAGGCGTGCCATGTTGCCAGACAACCAAGACCATTCGCGATCAAGGGAACCGGTGACCAACAAAGCCTTCTTATGAAGTGCCGAGCTGACTGGTCTTGCCTGCCTATCCGTCCTCCAATCCGCGTATACCCTTCGGTTTCTCCTCAGTCTGTTGTCCTTGCCCGAGAGTAAAACCCGGTCTCGTCCTCTGATGGCCGTCGTAGGCCTCTAGCGCCGTCGGTCCTATTCCTCTTCATATCCAGGACTCTTCACCTCTCCAGGCACATACCCAGCTAGAGTCCAAAGACACACAAACCAACGACCAACGATACAGCAGTGGCATCTAGTCCTGCAAGTGTCAGCCTCGCCCGTGGCATCTCGACGCCAGTTCTTTGTCGTCCTACCTTATGCCTTTGACGTAAACCCCTTTTGCGCTGAAGTAGTGCTTAGACCCAAGCATGAATACCTCGACCAGATCCATCTCGGGGAATCGGCCAAAATCGCTATCCCCAGGGTCCAAGCTTGGGCTGAAACCCGATATGCAGTGGTCAGTCAAGTCAGACTATCATACACATATCCGCCGTCATAATGAGTGTTGACCACGGACAAGCCAACAATTGCCAGTCTCGTCAACCACTTTGACAAGCAGTTGGTCGAGCAGCATGACGACTTGCCAAAGTTCGCCGCCTCAACCCGGGAAGTGCTGTTTTGCTGATTCCTGAGGGAGCCAAACTAACGGACTAGGTATCTCTTAGTCTAATCTTCCCATCTGCGGTGAGGTGAGGCGAAGCCACATGCACTTGACACCAAGACGCCCTAGGTACAGTCATGCTTCTATTCCACTGATTCAGGACTCTTGCGGTCAAGATTACCGGGAACAGCACTGCAGAAAACAACCTCTCGATAACGATACGTTGCCCTGCGCAATCCTCTGGTGCGTGCTGGATCTGGCAAGTCTTAGCCTGCACAAGCTCCAAGCTATCCCTCCACACTCTGCGACCATTCGTGCATATGCGCCCACAACGACAGGTACGTGGCGGAGAAGATGATTGTTGATCGGAACCATAACTCTGCCCGCCGTGTTGCGGTACCGAGATCCTTAACGCCGACCATACCTTGAGCTTGGCCCATGTGACCGAGAAGACAGTCCTCTTGTTCATACCAGTCAATTGTTAGCTGTTGTCTCAGCAGTCTCAGCATTGCTGTCTTCTTCGAGTATTTTTCTCTCATCCAGAAAGCTTTCAACCTTTCAACAAGAGCGATACGAAGGAGGCACGGAGGCTAGAGAGAGCCGGTGTCCGGCTTTTGTTGTCATCCCTGTGTGTAATCGTAGGTACCTCGGGATGACGCCTTGGTGGATGCTGCTTGCGCCGCACCGCGAGGCGGTACAAACTTCATAGTCCTGGATCTAGGACTCAATCCCTGCCGCCACACTTCACAGTGCCTTGCTGTCAGGGACTGTGCGTCGGGGCTGGACGCTCGGCTCCTGAGCCGCTGCGCGCCTGTGGGTTGACTGATGTGACATGCCACTGACTGACCGCGACTCTGAATCCTCATTAACGGCACTAAGAACAGCTTCCGCCAGCTGACGACCAGAATATCGAATACGGGAAGGAAGCAGCCGCACCATCTTTAGGAAGGAAACAGAGCAAGACAGTCGAAAGGGTGTGCAGATGTCTCGGTCACCAACCACCTTGAACCTCTTGTCCAGCCTCGAGTCCCAAGATCTGGGAAAATAGGGGTCTAACGATCAACCAACCTTTGGCACCGTCGCTATACGTTCTTGTGACCATGCGCGCCATGTCCTCCGACAGCGTTGGTTTGAATACTGAACGGCCAAGACTGTAACGACAGAGACCGAGGCGAATGATTTACTTCGTCACGTTAGAAGCAGCCATCTGCTGGCTCTATTAGCAGCTTTGGCACAAGATTCCGCAAGCCACTCCGAGTCGTTATCCGCATCTTCCCTTTCCCATGTCTATTCTGGGACATGGCGCATGAGGGATCATCGTGGGTGCTGCATAATGGCATCGCTGGCCTTGGATGGGGCTCGGACGACGGTCATGGCCGCAGCGCAGCGCAGCCGCTTGATACAGGGAGATTGCAATAATTGATGACTTGCAAATCGTCCAGTGGCCCCCTCGTTTTCTCTTTCGTCAAGACCCGAGAAGCCGTGTGGTTATGCTTTGTTGCCGGAGCAAGCGCCGGCAATGAACCTACATGCGCATCAGAACTTATCTCACCTTGCCAATGTCACCCAGCCGAGTCGCACTGGATAGCGGATACTTACCGCCATCTCTCCTGGGGCCGGGGGATGTGGGGTTTATTCATTCATCCGTCCGCTGCAAGCTTGGCACCGACACAATGGGATGGTCTTTTCGCTTCCCAGTACCAGGGCAGTTGTCAGGTGGCCCATGCGCTACGTTGCGGTCCGGCATCTCTGATTATCCGTGCCGCTCCCCTAGACCCACCCAGACCCCGGCCCGTAGCTGCAGGGGCCGTTGAAGCTCCCGACCCGTCTGAAATTTCCAAATCGCCAATTCAAGGACGTCGACGACAGACCATCGCGGCTCCAGCTTCGCCGACGCCAATCCACCCCCGAATCCGCTACTCAACCGGACGCAAAACCAGACGACCTCGACAATTCGATCGACCAGGTTCCAACAAATCCAAATACCCTTCCCAATTGGCCGGGAGCCATCCGCCAACGATGCAGAGAATCATCAAGCGCACGGTGCAGGCCGAGAAGCAGGTCGCCCGGCGCATGAAGAAGCGTGCCCGCGGCGAGGGCGGTGCTGAAAAGGCCCAGCGCTTCAGGGACCAGAAGAACATGCTCACGGAGCTGAACCAGGACATCAAGGCGGCCCGTCTCGCCCGTCAAGAGAAATGGGATCTCGGCCCCTTGGCCCCGCGCCGCGATATGTTCGAGACCTACGGAGCCCTCCAGACGAATCGCCAGGGCCGTTCGACTCCGCTCAAGCCCGACGAGATTGAGGCACGGTGTGAATGGGCCGGAGGAGTAGAGTACCTCAACCTCGCCGTTAAGGACCGCGTGGTACTTCTCGAGGGCCCAGAAAAGGGCAAGATTGACCGTATTGCGAGTATCAACCTCGAGTACGGCACCGTTCAGTTGGAGGAGATTGGAAAGGTCAGGCTACAACACCATATTCACTTCCACCAGGACAGCAAAGCAACGTTGGAGAGATGGGGAAAGAGAAGCTCAAGGCTAACCAATCGTCCATCAGGTCACCGTCCACGTCCCCGAATCATTCCAGAACCTCCTCGACGCCCCCACAACACAAAACGCAGCCATGAACATACCCATCTCCGCTATCCGTCTCGTCCACCCCATCGTCGACCCTGCAACCGGCGTAGCCCGCGACGTCGTCGTCCGCCAGCTCGCCCGCGGGCCCGTAAAGTGGTCCCGCACCACCGGCTGGCGCGCCTGGACCCGCTACATCCCCGGCGCCAACATCGCCATCCCCTGGCCCGAACGCGAGGCCGAGGTCCGCGAGGACCAGCCCGGCGACACCCTCCGCCTCGACGCCGAAGCCGCCACCTTTGTGCCCACGCTCCTCTCCCCGCCCATGCCGGGTTCCGTCATCGACGAGCTCCGCAACAAGTACTCCCGCTTCCGTACCCGCCACGAGGACGAATACATTATGCGCAAGGAGGCCGAGGAGGCCGAGAAGAAGGCCCTCAAGAAGGCGTCGGCCGACGCGCTAGCCTCTATGCGCACGCCACTGCAGGAGCTCAACCGCGAGCTGCGCGATGCCCGTCGCGCGCGCGGCAAGCCCGAGTTGTCGTCGGATATGCTTGAGAGGATTGGTGAGATTATGGCGAGGAACAAGGCTGTTCAAGGGGACACTTCAGCGTGGAACGTGCCTACGCCCAAGTTGTTTGAGTCCAAGACGGCGGCGGCGGCGGCAGAAGTACCAAAGGAGACTGAGAGTCATCCTCCACCTCAATAAAGGGGCACTCGACCTTCACGAGGAGAGGGGGGCAACAAAATCAGGCGAGAGGCCAGAGAGATTTGTAGTATGTATGAATAGCCATAAGAGTTGTATTTGTAACAAAGTTGCGGTATGATACGTTTGGTCTAGGGCGATGGTCAAGTGAGGCAAACATGTCAGCCCCGTGGGGGTTCCAATTCAATAGTTGTCATGACTCTCGGATACCAAGTTTGGCCAAGGTGTTGATTGTTATGTCTCGCGGTCTAAATCTCTCCTTTCGCATGTTGAAGGCTGCATCTCCAGGCTTTTTTTCCCCTATCCCTATCCTGCCCTTCTTCCTGTCCTTGTTCCTGCCTATATTCCTACTTATATCTCTGCTTATATTCTTGCTGATTTTACTAATTTTGCTAGCGGTCTAATATTTATATTAGTCTACTACCCCTACTGAACCTCTTACCTCTAAACCCTCTCTGCGACTACGACTTTACCCGTCTAAGCCTATCCCAACGCCATAACGGTACACTCACCCTGAATTTTTGGCATCCTGCCACTAAATGTATATTAACTATGCAGTTCATATCCAAGGTTTGTCTTCCTCTTCCTTGTCTCTTTGCCAACAGCTGACCAGAACCAGACTATGAGAACCCTTGTCCAACGTGCGGGCATGGCCCCGCTACTACCAACAGCAGCACGACGTCAATTCACGGCTGCAATTAGTCGCCAACGAGCCTACTCTTCACACGTAGAAGAATCATTTTATCCCGTTCCCAAGTCGTCCAGTCCCGTTGCCGAGTCATCACATGGGCACTCATGTGATGATGTACTCCTCTCCTTGAGGGGGGGAGACGAAAAGAGACCACCAAGCAATAATGCGGGCCGTGGCCACGCCTTGGTGGCGTAGGATTCTGTGCTAGGCGATGCAGACTGCTAGGACTCCTCTTGTCGGTATGTATGTTGATATACATGTCAGTAGAGCGGGTGTTACGGCCGGTACGAAGCCAAATGATCGTATATCGACTACGTAATAGGGACATGGAAGGAGGAAGTTGATGGGCAGAGCTTGATTGGTCTGACGACCGCGTTCCGAGAGTGAGAGACTTAGTTTCCTAGGATTCGAATGATCTCGGACTAGGGTTGAGGGTGTAGATGAGTCCCGCCTATTGGGGAGTTGGGGGCACACATGATGGTCTCAGAAGAACTTTCAGGTTGCAGCAATACGGGAAAGCGATACAGAAAAGCGATACATCCAGCGTCACGCATCAGCTACTACAACAATGACATGAACACGGAAAATTATAAACACATTTGCATTGAGCTGCTAAGCAAGGCTCTTGTACTCATGACCCCAGCAACGTCAACTTCTGAAAGGCACTCAGCGCAGGCGGCTCCATCTTCTTCGTCCTCGCCTCAAGGTGCTCCTGGAGCACGGCATCCCCGCCAGAAGCAAGGTACGTCTCCCCGTCAAGCCCGACAACAACACCACCCTCCTGCTCGGTCTCCTTGACGGCAAACACCTCGCGCACGGCAGCCTTACACCCTTCAACGACCTCGGCCACAAGAACCTCGACAGCCCTCGCGCGCTCCGTCATACCCCGTCTCACGAGCGCAAACACCAGCCTTCCAACCTCGTCCTTGGCACCGCCCTCGACGCGCTCGACAAGTCGCCGGACGCTGTTGACGAGGTACTCCTCCTCGTAGACCGTTCCCTTCCTTCCACGCGCGCGCTTCTTCTCCTCGCGCTTGCGGTTCTTGGACGTCGCGCGCGACACGCCCGTGCCAGCTGTCCCGATGCTCCCGTCTTTACCCGTGTACCGCGTGAACAGACTCGCCGAGGTACTCACGCGTGAGGTAGCGACGGAGACGTCGTCCGGGATGTCGACGCCCGTGCCGCCGGGTCGCTCCCCCTCGTAGAACGCGAGCGGGTCCTCGGCCGCTTTGCGGCGGAGCTCCGCGATGCGGGGGACCTGCGCCAGAAGCTGGGCTTTGCAGTCGGCGAGGAACTCGGTGCTGCTGCTCAGGGCCTCGACAAGGCCGTTGTCGAAGACGGTCGGCAACAAGTCTGCGCGGCGCTCGCGGGCGATGAGGCGGAGGGCCTCGGCGAAGTGGTAGCCCTTGCAGAGACACTTGACGGCCGTCTCGAGGGAGGCGAGATAGTCTGCGTGGATGGTGGCCGCGGCGGCGTATTCTTTGCCTTCCCAGAGGGCGTCGGCCAGGGACGAGGCGAGTTCCGCGAGGGCTTCTTCCGACGGCGGCGGGGACTGCTGTTGTGCTGCGAAGAGGGACTCGCGCCAGCATGTCACGCCGGCTGCGCGGTAGCAGCTGGTGGCTTTGGCGAAGTTCTGCAGCGTCTCGTAGGCGAGGCCGGCGTCGCGGTACTTTGAGTTCGATTCGAGGTAGCTCGCGTACAGCCCCGTGAGGGTCTGGTGGCGCGCCTGGTCGTAGCGGTAGAGGCCGAGGGCGTCCTGGTAGAGCGCGTGCTTGGTGGTGTACCTGCATAGCTCGTCAAAGGCGTCGAGGGCCTTGAGGTGCAGCAAGGCCTTTGCTCTGCGGTCGAGGTGGTCGTCAATCTCGAACTTGCGGCGTAGTTCGGAGAGGTTGTGCAGGTTCTGGATGAAGGGGAGGTACTCCCTCGGATCGCGCTGAGACTGCTGGGCGACGAGCAGGGCGAGGTCGAGGTTGTACAGGCCGAGGGCGTTGTCGTAGAGGCGGTTGACGTCGACGAGGAAGCAGATGTGCTCGACGGCCTTTTCGGCGAGTTTCTCGTCCTCCTGCATGAGTTCCGCGACGAGGGTGAGGCCGTCCTCGAGGGCGGGCGGGACCTTGCAGACGTGCGCGGTGATGATGTTTTGCAGGTTTGTGCTCTTTTTGGCCTGGAGGCTCTTGAGGATGGCGTCGCAGATCTTGTTGACCTTGGACTTTGGGGAGGCGTCGGCTGGTGCTGGCGTCTCTGTTAAGGGCTCGAATGATCTTGCGGAGCGCTTTGTGTCCTTGTACATTGTCTGCGTGACGTCCTCGTCCCTGGTCGAATTAGATTTGTTTCCCAAAGTCTCACGAGAGAGGGGCAACTTACCTGAGAGATGACAGGAACAGATCAATGTAGGAAATATCCTTAAGCTGGTCAAGGAAGAGGCCGACATTGGACAAGAACTGGCTTGGCTGGTGGTCGTAAAGGATGTTCATATCCACCCTCTGCGTACGGCAAAAGGCGAAGGCCCTGCCGTAGTTCTTCTCGTCGACGAGCTGCCTGATGCCCGCAACAACCATGGCGCGGGGGAAAATGGTCTCCAGGTTACCTCTCGGCATCTGGAGGACCAAGTTCATGTTGGTCGGCGTGGCTGTCACGAGGCGGGCGCCTCGCTCGATGCTTCGGCATCTCTCGTCGATCTCTGGATCATCTCCAGGAACCTCCATCTCTGTGGGAAGAGAGTCAGTATCTCTGAGCCTGGTATCTTCAGCATAGAAATAGGGATACACTAACCTTCAGGGTCTACCAGATGCACAAACTTAACAAGGTGGTTATTGGTCGTGAAAATGATATGTGCAGGAGTGACGACAAAAGAGGTACAGTTCTTCGCCAACTGCTTCGAGTTTGCATAGAGGTGGCCGTTCCTCGTCATTCCAATCCCTACACTGCGCCCATTGATATTGTGCAGCTCGCACCACGGCAGCTGCATCGATAGCTGTGTTCCCAATAGCAGCTCAGGGGCTTGGGTACCAGCTACCGAATACAGCTTTCCAGAGCGGTCTTGGGCACAGGCTTCAGTACCGGAGTCTCCCTCGCGGCTGAACAGCGACGAGATAGTCTCCGTCGGTCTAAGTTGAACAGCCCCCGAAGCCTTGATGGAGCCTGCTTCGATCGTGTAGCCCTCGAGCTTCAGACCTCCGTCGGAGACAAGGACGCGGCACTCTGCGGCGCCGGAGAAGGCAACCTGCAAAGGCACACGGGTATGGGTATCCGCCTCGAACTCAAGCTTGGCCATGGGCGTGGGCTTGACTGACCGCTCCCCCTTCGTCTGCCATTCATAGACGTCCAAGCCCTTTCGGTGCAACACCGCCATGAGCTTGTTGCTCGGGTCAAAGACGATGTCCAGAACACTGCTGGGGAACTCGAGCTCGAAGAGGGCCATGGGCGGGGGTACCTGAGCCGTCCGGAAGGGCGTGAGCTTGAGAGTCTGCCCGTCGATGACGGCGACGGCTCCGTAGTCATGAGGAGGGCTGAGGGATCCGCGGGAGACAGTGAATATGTACTCGGCCACGTTCACAATAGCTGTAATGTAGTGAGTAAAACATCGCCTGATTGTAAAAAGGGGGCTAAGGAAACTCACTTGTGGTTGCGGAGACGAAACGCAGCGGCTTCTCGGGATGCCACGCCAAACCAGCAAACGCAGACGCCAGTGGGATCTCCTGCTTGAGATACCAGTGATAGTTGCCCGTCGTCCACAGTTGTATCCTGTCGCAAAGAATCACAGCCAAGACTGTCGAATCCGAGTTCCACTCCAACCGGATCTTCTCGTGCGCGCTCAGGGGCCCATCGGCGCACCGCAGCGTAAATTGCCCATGACGCAGACCGTTCCTCTCAAAAAAGACGACGTCGGTCCGGTCCTCGAACCTCTGGATACCTGCAATCAAATTTCCCGACGGCCTCCAGCTCAATCCGCCCTCGAGGTGGTCCACGGGCTCGCTGACGCTGTCGAGCACGCCCTCACGCGAGTACACCCTCACGACCCGCCTCGCGCCGCCAGCGACAGAGTTGACGGCGACGTACGCGCCGTCGCCACGCCAGCTGACGGCCGCGGACCTGTCCTCGTTGACGCTCGGCAGGCCCTCGTCGACCTTTTCAGGGATCGTCGGGTCGCGCATCGCCTTGGCGCCTTTGCCCTGAAATTGCGTCTCCTTCTTTCCCCAGCCGACGGACACGTGCTTGGAGAGCTTGAGGTCGTCGGCCGTCATGACCACGTCGGCGATGGGGTCAAAGGTCCGGCCCATGAAGACGGCGTTGCCTTCCTTGGTGACGACGA